AACTTAATTGGCTTTGTTAAATATCTTTTTTGTTGTATGCTAATCATATTTTACTCTCCATAACAATACTTTTTTATTACCAAGATCTGCAGTAAATCTTTGGTTTAGCAAGTTCATTTTTTCGGTAGAAGTAAATTTTTATCATTTTTAAAAACAAGTACTTCCTTTTCTTTTGAGTCTTTAAAGTAAGTTCAAAACTATTTATTTCAACGAACTAAGCCAACAAACTCATTATTCATGAGACTTTATTCTTAAAGTCTTTTTTTACAACGAATTGAAATAAAAATACAAATATATTACATATATTGATCTCCTGCAATCCAAGTATGGAACGAATGAAAACCCTAATAAATGCCTATATAATCTATATTATCAATTTTCTTTTTTTTGTATAATTACAAATTATGATTTTAACACTGAATAATTATTTAAATAAAAAAAAGCTTTGATCCGAATTTTCTCTGAGTGACTTTGTGAAGTTAATAAAATTCTGCAAAAACGTTATCGCAAGCTAAGTATACTACTACTTAATCTGTACTTGAAATATGTTTTTGATAAAATACTTGAATGAAAACATAAAAATAAATTCTTAAAAACAACCATTTCTATATTTATGTAGATAATGTTAAAAACCCTTTTTACACTGAAAATGAACTACATTTCTTAAATGTTCTTGAAAAAGTTACTAATTTGTTTTATATTTAATTAATATTAGTTTACACAACCTATATAGTGTTTAATAAACAAGTGTAAAACAGTAACAAAAAACAGTAATAAAATATCAAAACTTAAGCAAACATATTTTTAGCACTGCCCATAAACTCGTCGGAAACTATTGTTTTTCGATGACGTTTAAAATTGATTAAGTGCAATAAAATGCAAATAAATAAAAATAAAATGCTTTAAAACCGTTTAAGCAAAAATTTTCACTAAATTTCGCCGACCGTTTGAACAGATTTGTATGTTTGCCACCCCAAATTCACGCCCCAGCACAAAGTTTCAATTAAGTTGGCGGGCAAAAGCGAATAAATTAAGTACACACAGATGTACATACATACAAACGTGCATATAATAAAGTAAAAGAAAAAAAGAACAAATTCTGGGAGAACGTTAGCCCGTGGCCACAGTTTGTAGGTTGTAGAGGTCAAGGCTATAATGCTTGCTTTAAATGTATGTATATGTATATGTTCGTGAGGGTCTGATACGAATAACCGACGGAAAAAGTGCAAATAAATTTGTGACGCATTTTTATTTTGTTATTGCAATTCGCAAATGATATAAATACACCGAGCGGTGCACACAGTTGAACAAAAGCACAAATACACATGTAGAAACATACATGTGTGTCCCACTCAAATGAAATGAAAAACGCGAAATGTGAGCGAGAAAAGGAGAAGGCGACGTAAGAGCACAACGAACTTTTGCAAAATGTGAAATTATAAAACAAAGCGCGCGGCGTAGGCAACAACAATAACAATAACAAAAAAACAAGCATTAAAGCATCCACAGCTGCAGAAAAACCAATACCAATACCAATACCAAATACCAAATACCAACGGCAACAGGCTCAACAAAATGCCAAATTAAAATGCTAAAAAACAGCGCTAAAAAAAGCAAACAAAACAAGCCGCAATGTTTGCTATTGTTGTGTTGGCTTGTTTTTGGCACACACTGTCTCTTTCCAACACTCCAAACACGAATTGTTGTTGCTGTCAGTTTTTGTTTGTTTTAAGCCAAGGCCAAGCCGAGGGAATTTTTCACTGCCTCTTCGCTTTATTTTCGTTTCATTTATTTATTTTTAATTTTTCAAATTTTGTTTTAAATTTTGAATTGCAAATATGTACTCAAAACAAAGACTAAAAGAAAATAAACATCGGAGAGCGAAGTAAGATAAGGGAAAACGCGAACGAAATGTTTGCCTAAACACGAAGGGGAAAGCTTGATAGTTGATTAGGAAAGATTGTGGCTCTTAATGAGCCACCAAGTTCATTCACTTGAGGAAATCGAAAGGTACTTTTAAATTAAATTGTTTTTTATCTGAAATGAAATTACAATCAATGTAGCCTATATTTGTATTTAAAAGTGAGTGATTTAAAAACAATATAGCTTGATTGAAGAATATTGATAAGTACAAATATTGCACTGAAATTTACGAAAGATACAACAAGATTGATTTATTTATTGAATTCCCTTAACTATCTCATTTGACTGAAAAATGTGAAATTGTGATCCATGAGGGAGGTATTTATTTAAATATGTATTCCAAATCATTTCATTTATAATCTAAAGTCTAAGTTGATGATAAAAAACTTTGTCTTTGCATCTATGTTCTGTATCTATGTATGATTAGATGATCATATGATTCAGATTATGATACAGAATCGTTATATCTTTCCAAATGACTTTTTTAATTTGGAAAATATAACTAATACAATTTGTATCTTAGTTTACATAACTTCCATTTTAAGTTAAACTTGTGGTGATAGTGCAAAATAAATGAATATTATAACTTTATTATAAAATGACCTTAGAAATGGTTACATTTCTTCTATCATTTAAAATAATCTACTCCTTTATGACGCTCAGTTTGTATGTTTCTGGGCCTTCTTTGCATTAAATTTAATCTTATCCTTGACCTTGAGCTTATAGTAAGTGCTAAGGTTCTTTAATTTAATCACTTAAAATTTTTTAAAACACAAAAAATGTTGCAGTTCGTGATTATGAATAAATGTATTAATTACTTCATAATTAATTATACATATTTCGATGTTACTTTTATATTGTTTATGCATCTACCAGAAGAAAAAGCTAAAAAAGCTATTTAATAACAAAATGTATAAAAAATCAATAAAAAAATGTTAAATGAAAAAATAAAACAAAAGAATCATGACTATTTGCACCTTTTTAAAAACGTTTAATACATGCCATTTGGTTATTTATAGCTGTAGTTTATGCTGCTCTAAACAAATTAACAGGTCCGGCCAAGTTGAATAGATACAGATACAGATGTACGTACGGAAAAATGTTTAGGTATTCAGTACGTATAGAAAATGACAATTAACAATGTCGAACACGCCCACAACACAGCAGAAATGAATTTTGTTGAATAACTTTTGACGGGGTCCGTCATATATTTGTGCGCAAATCGAAAAAGATTTCTTGTTTTGTCGCTCTTCTAACAATTTGTTTTCTTTTATTTTTATTTTAGTATTTGTATTTGTTTATAATAGATGTAGCTTGGCTGTATGCTTTCGCTTATTCCCCGCTAATGTTTTTATCTCTGTCATAATTTTGTTGTTATAAATGCTTATTATTCTGCCCACTATCTCTCTATTTGTTTATGTACTTGTTAATCAGGAAAACACGTGAGCAGAGTGTTAGTTTGGGGTCGGTCAGTCCGTTAGTTAGTTAGTAATCATCAAGAATTGATAGTGCTACTTAGAGGTGTTTTAAAAGTTTTTAGTTGTAAAAAATTTAATGAAAATTAAAAAACGCCTATGAAGTCAGAGGGTTGATCGATCCACTGCTGGTCTTATCTCTATAGCATATGGCTGAACTTCGAAATTCCACGCTGAACACGAGCCGACGAACTGCAAGAGAACTTGAGAAGCCTTATCGGTGATATTTTTTAACGCTTGCAGCAATATTTAACTTTTAATTATGAGCAGACAACTTTAAATCTCGATTAATTGAGGTGTACCTAGAAATGGGAAGAATATAAGTAAAAATGTCATACATTATTTAGTTTACAAATACCAAGATGCCAGATAAAAGATTTAATTTAAATAGGGGAATCACGAACATCAATAGAGAAAAGATAATAGTTAAAAGAATACTTTAATCAACTCATTTTCATTACTATAAATACCTTTAAGCTTAGGTTCTCGAAATATTTCTTAAGTTACACACTCTCAGCAAACACAAAGCAATTTTTGTGGTCGAACATTTTTGAGTTAATCCAAATTTGTGTCCAATTTCTCTTAGTTTCGCCATAAATGAATCATTTTGGGGCATTTTGTGCTGTGCTCGGTTCATTGGAAAGTCAGTTTATTTTCGTGCACGTTCTTTAGAAAGTCGTTGAACTGTTTGCATTTCCCTCTCTCTCTCTCTCTCTGTGTCTCAGTCCCTGTCTCTGTTTGTCTTTCTCCCACGAATTATATTGTAAAAGGCACAGAGAATTTTTAAGTTTATTTGTTTTTAGCAATTTCATCATCTTGCTGTGGAATTTGTTCATATTAGAATGAGTATCTTCTCGACTTAAACTTTTATGGCCACAATAAATACCGTGAGAAATGACAAAAAAAACGAAGAAGATTAAACTTTGACTTCGGGGTATTTCCTGTTTGAAATATATATAATATATTTATTTAAATCTTCTAGAATTGTTCTTTGTTTGTACTAAGAGCACTGTACTTTAAGCATCGACTTAATAAAATATAATAAAGTTTATTAAATAGAAGTGTATCCCTAAGATACTTTCTCGTAAAAAGCTGCAGCTTAAAGAGTAATATTATCTGAATAACTATAATCGATTAAATGATGATTTTTTAATGCTAATTGCTTTGTTTTGCTTTTAAAGCTTATTCTTAATCTTTTTGTTCTATTCGATTTTTACCAATTTCTTTAAAATAGTTAATAAGCTTAACCTATGTGATTATCTCTTTATATTATTCAAAAATAGGGTTCAATTCTTCTTTACTTTATTTTAAAACTTGGTTATCAACCTTATAGTTACTGATGTGATGAAAGCATAACATGAATTTTAAACTAATTAAACATTTTTACGAATCAATACAAATTTATTTTTATTTCGCGTAATACGTTTTCTCATTTACTATTATTTTGTTTTAAATAATTACTTTATGGATCAAATCATGTAATTATCCTTATTATTATAAGGTTATTAACTTGTTAATAATATTCAATGTTCATTGATTAAAGTATATTAATTTATGAATATTTTAATCAATTATTAACAAGGAATTTTAATTATTTTACAGACCACCACCATGGAACCCAACAGACATCACGAATATCAGACACATCATCAGCCGCATCCGTCGATGCAGCACCTTCCAACGCATCCACATCACCAGCCACCACCGCATCACCAACAGCCACACCACCCGCAGCAACCTATCCACCAACATCACCCGCCGCCACCGCCTCCTCAGCAGCAGCAGCAACAGCCGCAACAACAGCAACCACCGCCACCCCAGCAAATCCACCAGCAGCAGCATCCGCATCACTATCAGCAGCTGCACCACCATCCCACGAGTTCTACATCGGTGGGCAGTTCCTCCTCCGCCAGCTATGGCAATCACCATCCGCAACATCACCCTCCATCTTTGGCCGAGGATCAGCGATCCCGTGCAGCAATGTACATGAGCAGGAGCAGTCAACCTGGCTTGCCACCACCTTCCCATCCTCCGGCTCAAGGATCAGGTGCCTCTGGTCCCGGTGGCAGCGATCCTCATATGCAATACTACACCTCGAACCAAAATTTGGCGGTGAAGAAGATGCCAGAACCGCATCCCAGTTGGAGCTACAAAAGCCAAGCCGTTCCAGCTCCAGCTCCGGCGCCTGGATTACGACAGCATGGGAATCCTGGTATCTATGCAACGGGCAGCACTCCCTATTGGCCACCACCCGATGAGCAGCTGCATCACCAGCAGCCGTCAAGGTATTCTTATGGGAAGCCAGGAGGCCCGGTCACGGGATCGAGACCCATTCAGGGACCCCCGCCAAACAGTCAGCGATATTACGCCGAAGACATCAAGTACTCAACGGTACCTGCAGCATCGAAAGTGGTCACCTACGCACCACCAGCCAGCTCCTCGCAGCCACAGCCACCGCCGCCCACCTCCAGTTCGTCCTCCAACTCATCATCCGTCCGCCACTATGAACTCGAACATGTGGTTAATCCTAGTAATCCTAGTAACGAGCACCAGCAACCGAGTCCGAATTACGGCCGGAAATGTCCGCCACACTACGAAACTCCGCCGGAACAGAGGAGTGCCGGGGCTACGCCCAATTCAACGGCTACGCCCACTTCTACATCGCACCACCAGAGCCTGTATATGCCAATGCCGACATTTAGCACGGAAAAGTTCCAAACAACTGTGCATAATGCGATTGAGAAATACGTGAGGGAGACACCGGGACCCAGTTTGGAGTACCCCAGAGGTGGACCAGGTGCACCACCAGCAGCAGCAAGTGGAGGAGCCTCCTATGGTCGCACTGGTTACTACAGTCAACCGCCGGTAAAGAGCTCCAAGCCAGCACCACCTGTTCCACAAACTTCCACCTCTAGTTATGTGAAAATGGAACCAGAGCATGCTCTTACCGGGACGTTGCCGCAACCCACGAGATCCTCGCTTTACCACAATCCCTACAATGTGGAGAACAGGGAGAGGGATTCCTCGCCAGCTATGGCCACTGTGCCAGCGCCACATGGTTATCCAACCAAATATGGAAAGCTTTTACAGCAACAACATCCCGGGGGAGTGGGAAGTAGTAGCTCCGCACCCTATACAAGTTACTATCATCAGGGAACTCCTTCGCCAGCGGCGGGAGCGGTGGCCTCGCCCACACCAGCACCAGCACCGCCTGCCGGTGGTCCAGGAACAATTCTGGGTCCGGGAACGATTTTGGGCCCCGGAATTCCTCCGCACAGCAGCCAACCTGCTCCTCCGCCTGTCAACAGTCAGCAACCCGCCTCATCCTCATCCTCTAGCAATGCCAACTACTCCACCCTCCAAGTATATCCTCACGGACCCGATATCTGCTACCAGCCAGGAAGTCAATCCCAGGCGCATCAGCAAGCTCAGAGTCACCCCAATCCTGCCAAGAAACAGCCAGCTGTATCCAAACCCAATTATCGTGCTTTAATCAACGATATGCTGAAGAGGAATACGGCCAGTGAGCAAGAACTGAATTTGCAGATCATCAAGAAGACTCTCAACATGGAGCCGCCAGCGAGGAATCATCCTGCACCTAGTAGGGTCATCCAACAGGCTGCTGCACCCGTTCAAGCACCTGTTCCCCTGGCCGTACCATCTGCTCCCCAACCGCCACCGCCAGCGATTCATTCACCATTGGATTTGTCCATGCGAACGGTGAAGCAGACGGCGGACTCCACGGAGTACAAGTACCAGAGACCCAGCACGGATTACAAGCTACCACAGGCGGGCTTGGCTGGAGGCTTGGGCTTGCCTAGGTTCGATATTACACCCAACTTTACGGCGGCCACTAGGGGCGGAACACCCACGAGTCCGGCGCCAACAGCTGTGATACGACAGGCACCGGCAATTCCGTCAGCTCCTCTTCCACCCACGGTAACAGTTCCTCCGGCAGCGGCAGCACCGACCTTGGTTATCAAAACCCTGCAACAGATGCGTCCCAGTGTACTGGAAACCAATCCGTTTGCCAAGCGCCAGCAGCAGCTACCGCCAGAGACGAGTATTGTCCAGGTAACCAAGCCACCAGTGGAACTGATGCCCACACCCTCGCCAAGTCCGCACAACAGCAGTAATCCCAACTATTTGGGTAGGAAAAGGCACCTGCAGGAGTACAATCAAGCCGCTGCCAAGCAAGCCAGATTGGATGCGGAATCATCAGGATCTCTAATACCAGCAGCACCTTTAATTGCTGCTCCCACTTCAGTGGTTGTCGTGGCTCCAGTGCCAGTGATAGCTGTGAATGAGCAGGCGCTGGCCGCCAAGCGGGAAAGGGAAATGCAACCGATGGGACTGCCAGAGTCCTCCACTTCCGCCAATACAGTACCGAAAATGGAGCCCCGGATTCGCACCAAAGCGGAGCTCAAGGGTTTCACATTTACGCCACCTGTGCTGGTCACATCCACTACGAATGCTTCTAGTACAATATCACCACCCAGGACACCGCCTAACCAGATTACCAATCACATACAGATTAAGCTGGAACCAGCGCCACCCAAGGCGGCTGATTTGGGTCTGGAGGAAGAAGTCAGTTTGGGTAACTTGATGGACTGGGGTAGTACATGTAATAATCTGGTCGAGCAATTACTTACCAAGGTAGTGGTGGCACCTGTGTTACCAGCCACCACTACCGGTATCAAGCTGGAGCTCAGTGAAGATGATCTACCAGTGGCGCGGATTCTTAAGAGGCAACCTTTGGCATCAGTTACTCCGGTTGGAGGAGATGCCGAATCGGCCACCACCCAACTAACCACAACAACCAACGGAATCTCTTCGTCTTTGGGCAATGGCAGTGGGCAGAAGAAACTCAGCAAAGTGGAGAGGGAAAAGAAGCGTTTGCAGCTGGAGCAGAGAATTGCCGCCCGCCTGGCACCCAAACAAGGAGAAAGTAGTTCATCCGAGAGCGACACCACGGAGCTCCGAAAACGAAATTCTGCACGGCAGAAGAAGCCACTCATGCGAAAGGGAAGAACAAGGCAGAGATCTCCGGAAGCTAGCATCCAGCAGAGCAGCGATGAGGAGCAAGAGAAAGCTAATCAGAGACTTAGCCGCAGTCAAACCTCCAGTGAGGAAAGTAAGGCGAAAGCCTCCTCCAACAAAAAGGAAGCCAAAAAGGAGGTCAAGTCTCCCAATAATAAGGCCAACAATAGCACCTCTGTAAACAAAACCAGCAGGAAACCATTCGATGCTTCCAGCCAAAACAAAACCAAAGGTGAGGAGAACCTTAAGCAGGAAACTCAAGAGAGCAGCTCATCGGAAAGTCACGAAGAAGACGAGGACGAGGAGGAGGAAGATCAAGAGGAGGAGGAGGAAGAAGAACCAGAAGAGGATGACGAAGAAGAGCAGGAGCAGGAGAAGAAGAAAGAGAAGCGAGTGGGCAGGCGTCCGGGAACCACGCTCAAGAACCGCATTGCCCACAAGCTGAACACCATGACCCGCTCTAAGCATCGCAAGGAACTCGAACTCCAGTTGGCCAATAGCAAGGTTCTTCGCAATGACAAGATCATTAGGAATTCCACCACCAAAATTAAGAGGAAGTACGTCCGCAAAGTGGTGGACAGCAAAAAGGAGATGATGGTCACGCGTTTGAGGAACAAACGTGGCTTAAACTCGGATTTGGGAACATTAAATGGTAGGAACTCCAAACTAAAGGGCAATAAGGTTGGCAATAGTCCTGGAAAACCACCGAAGACCTCGCCTCAGCAGCAATTGTACTTGGAGGAGTATCGCTATAAGTTGGCTCTGAAAATCCCCCATCGCCTGATCTCAATTAATAAGCTGAACAAAGTGGCTGCCTCACTGCCGGACCTGGAGCGCCGTGATCTCAGCCAGGAACTGGCATGCTTCAAGAAAAATAGACCCAAGACCAAGGCGGCTAGCAAGCAGGATTCCACACCGAAATCAATAATTGATGTTCTCCACTTGAGGGTGACCAATGGCAGTACGATTGGTACTCAAAGGAAGATCTCTGTGTCTGCTCCCGCTTCTACCAATCTCCAGATTCATAGTGAAACCTCGCAAACATCCGCCTCTACTTCGTTGTACGAACAACCTCAGCAGGAAGCTACAGAAAACCAATCCCTAGATGATCTCAGCAAGCGGCACTTTAGCATCTTCGATACCAAGGTGTTGCAGAGTAAAACCAGGACGGAGACGAAGTTGCAGAAGCACAGGGAGATCATCCGTGAGATTTTCGTCGGCCCCGAACGCCCGGCTTCGGCTCCACCAGAGTGCGCCCAGGAGGCAGATGCAGGCGATGCTATTAGTTACCAGAAATACGAGGAGTTCTTGCAGCAGATGAACAGCATTGTCAGTTCCAATGACAACAAGTTGTCCAGGAGAACTCTAATGGAGGATAAGTCTGCAATAGCTCCCCAGTGTCCACACAAAAGGAAGTATCGTTGTAGGAAAGGTAGCTCGGGATTTGATTATATACGAAAGAAGAAGCGACCAGCTCCGACCCAGAATCAGAATCACACCCCAAATCATAACCAGAGCCAACCCACCAGTCAATTGACACAACATCTATTGGAAAATAATCAGAGTGCGGCGGATGAGCGTTTGGATGATACGGACAGCACCATTGCCGGTAGTTCCCATTTGCCCCCCAAGGTCAAAACGGAGATGGATGTTAATCGGGAGATCCAGAAATGGGTGCTCAACAAGGGAGTTGGACAAAGTACCATGCACAAGGCTGCTCGTCAGGGATTAATCGATGTGGTGGTCTACTGCTTGGATCGTCTTAATATGAATCCGGATCAGAAGGACAATGCCGGTTACACTCCCCTCCACGAGGCCTGCACCCAGGGCTGGCTGGAGATAGCCAGGATTCTTCTCCAATTTGGAGCTAATCATTCAGAGGCGGCTCAAGCTGGCATCAGGCCATTGCATGGAGCCATCGAAAATGATCACGAGGAGGTGGTTCGGTTATTGCTCTCCTATGGTGCCGATCCGTTGCTGGCAACGTACTCAGGTTGGTCTTGAATGGTTTAAAATGTCTTTTAGAAAGTATTTAAGATAGTTTTGTTTGGATTTCCAGGCCAAACCCCGCTAATGTTAGCTTCAAGCAAGTTGATGAGTGGAATTCTTCGAGCTCATCTCAGCGATGCACAAAGTGCCGCCGCTGATATCAAGCCAATGCGATTCAATGGGCCTTGGGAGATATTTGGTGAGTGTTTACTAGACTATTCAATCTGGTCAAACCCATTAACGAAGATCTTTAAACTAATCTATTCCAGATGCAAAGGAGTATGGTTATGATATATTCAGTAATGTACCGAATACAGCTTGTGATATGAGCAGAGCTCTACGTAGAGAAAGGAAGGAGGCCGAGCAGCGGAGGATGAGCAATGGCACCAGTAACTCGAACGGGGATGGCTTGTTACTGACCAAGAAGGAGATGCAGGAGAACGAAGATTTGGACCAGGAGCGGGTGAAAACGATCAAGCAGAACGGGGAAACGAGTGCAACAACAAAGACTGGATCAGCGACGATGACGATGACGACGACGGCAACAACGATGGTTAAATTGGAACCAGGAACCGATGAGGATAGCAATAACAATAAGAACAACGAGGAGCTAAATGCAAATGTTGAAAATAATTTAGTAACAAGCGTTGTGAATGTCAAGAATGAAGTGAAGAAGGAAGTGGATGCTGAAACAGAAGCGATAGCGGAAACGGAAGCGAGTAGGAATAGGAGTAGGTGTAGGCTAGACGACGATCAGACGGACATCGAGACAATGGATAGTGAATTGAATGGTGATATTTTTGAATTTGAAGAGGCCGATGTGCCCTTGCCACCACTGTACTTGCTCAAAGACGAGGGCAGTGATAAATGGGTACTACTCAACGATTTGTGCAATTTACTTAAAGTTAAATCAAAGGATACGTTGCTCAACAAGGTAGGTGATTCCTACAATGGATTAAAATAATATAAAGTGGATAATAACTAAACCACTATCTTTTTTCTTTACCCATTTTATCGAATATTAATATAATTTTTTCCTACTCCCACAGCTCTGCCCAAACAACAGCAATACGTTGGCAAGCAGTCAGAAGCACTTGCTCCGGGAGTTCAAGATCGACGATTTCCTGGAGAAGGCAACCTGCCTGCAGCTGCTGTGCGCCGGTGAAAAGCTGAACATGTTCAGCTCCTCGAAGGTTGTGCTCATCAAATACAACGACAGTGTGCGGAACTTGTTGGGCGTGAAGACCATTTTAATGAAATTTTAACCGAGGTATAGATAGCGATAGGAGGAGGTATGATCCAAAAGCCGAAACAGAAACAGATATAATTTAGATAATGATGAACAGATGAACCTAGTACTAACTAAAATTAGTGTGTAAAGTGCAAACAAATATGGAAGAAGAACTATTAGTACGAATATAATTATAGATTTATATACTATACATATGTATATTTTAGCTAGTAGGTAGTTTTTACTCACACGTCTTTGTCTTTGGAAGATGAAGTCTTTTTTAAAAGAAATTAAATTAGAGCTAATGCAAAGTGATACAAAGGTGCTATACACACTCAAAACGAAGAAAAAACGGAAATGAATGCAAATTTTTAGAGAGAGAATATTGAAAAATCTGGAATCTTTAGAGATTGGCTGCAATAATGCAAAATGCAATATGCAAAGTGTAGAACAAATGAGAGAAAGGGAAACGAACAGATAATGTATGCCAGCCAAGCAGCTAATAAATCGATATGAACAGATATATCTAGGGATAAAGTGTAATCTATGGTTTTTAAAAAAGCAAACAAATTAGCTAAAGTATAAACTAAATAATAATTATTGTAATAATATTAAAGCAGCAACAAAGGCGTATTTATGTATTATGTATTTTTAAATGAAATTATTAACATAATATATATATATATATATATAATATATGTATACACAATATGATCCAACTATATAATGTAAATCAATTTTCAGATAGGTTTGTAATTTTCTATGTAATGTACGTGTGTAAGTTTTGTGCAACTATAAAAGGAAAACACAAAAAAAAGCAAATGAAATTTAACAAGAAACTAATAATGAGAAACAAAATAAATGCAAAGTGAAGTTTTGGCAGTTTAACAGTGGTTTTTAATTTGAAAATTGAATTTCAGAATGAAAATGGGTAAAACTTTTATTTTGTAAACGTTAAAAGTTGAAATTTGACCGAAGGAAGCCTTCTTCTTAGCAACCGCTAAAAATTTAAATTCGCAACATATCGATAATTTTGCGATAGCTTCCGCTAGATGCCGCGCGTGAAAGCTCACCTCTGAAGCGTTCAGCTGAGCTCGGGTGTGCGTGCATGTGAGTGCTTTCAGCTGAAAGCTTTCCGGTTTTCATATGATTGCCGTCCTTGTTCTTCAAACGTTTTTTAAAGGCCAAGAATGCTGCCTCTCTGTCCTTGGCCCCGCTCTCCGTTGATCCAACACTATCCCTATTGAGCCTGTGTGCGTCTGTGGGTGCGCGGTGTGCCTGTGTGCGAGGGCTTTCGGTCTTCTTCTACCTACGCCAACAACTTTTTACTGTGTTCCCGTTCGAGTTGGCCTACAGACCTAATTTTTGCGTGCGGAATACTTTTTCCCGAAAAAGTGAAGCCAACGGATAAACAATAGCCAAAGGAAAGCGACAGCGATAGAAAGTGATAGTGAAAGTAAACAAAAGCGGAAGAGAAGAACTCTGGCGTTAATTGTGTGTGCATACATATGCCCTATTTAATATTTCCGATGCGTCCATAACGGGAGTGTGTTTTTGCTTCCTCTTTCATCCGCGCCCTCGCCGTCGTCTTTCTACCCAAAACCCAATTTTCAATGTGCAATTTTGTATAAAAATTAACACAAAGTGGGAAGATAGCGTTGTGTCATAGAATTGGAGCAAAGGCAAAAACAAGGCAAAATTAGCAAAGGCAAACGGAAAAACAACAACACAGAATGCCCAGTGGAACACCAGTACATGTGTGTGTATGTACGCGGTGTGACCGTGTGTGCGTGTGTGTGTGTGTATGTGTTTAGTAGGAATTGCAATTTATAGTTGTTGTTTCCCAGAGCTTTCGCTTGTTGCGCGCGTGCGACGATTGTGCAAGAAGTTTTTGTGTGTGTAAAAATCGGGAAGAGGAAATAGCAGAGAATAGAAGGAGAATAACATGGGAATAAATAAATAAAAAAAGAAAAGAAAATAAAATAAATAAATCGCCAAATGCGTTCGTCGTCGCGTGTGTGTGAGTGTTCTGAAATATGCTGAAAAAGCTCTCGGAGAGCGAGAGAGCGATCGGGAGAAATAGCAGCAACAACAAGAACAACAGCGATCGGCGAAATGAATCACACGCAAGCTTTGTTTTGCGAATTATAAATTCGCGTTCTCCACACATGCGAATTCCCACACTGAGAGAGAGACAGGGACAGCGAGAGAGGAAGAGCAACAACAAGACCAAGACATAATAATAGAACTTTTGCTTTCGGTTCCAACTGGTTTTTGTATACATAAAAAGAGAGCGAGAAGGAGAGTGGGGCGGAGACGTCGTAAGAGAGAGACGGGCAGCTTCCAGCTCTTCTTCTTCCGTGATCTTCGTCTTGGAATTCATGGAAACCGGGCGCATGCGCAAAACAAAAAACTACAAAAGGAAAAACAACAACGTCAGCTGCATGAAAGGTAAATTCTCAATTCTCCCCACATCTCGACTTCCTTTCGCCTTCCCCTCTTTCCCCAAAAACCCCCTTTTTTACCTTTTGTCTAGTTGGGAGAGCTTTATTTTATTGTATTTACCATCTTGAAATGAAAAAAGATCGTGCAGAGAGAAAAATAATGTCACTTTGCGAAGGTATCTTGATATAAGATCAATTTCAATTCTAAATATGTACATTTTCGATTTTTTAGATGATCGTATCAATAATCAAATGAAATCAACTTACATATGTCCAATAAATGAGCTTTTTCTATTTGGTTCTAGGTAGTCTTTCATGTAATTTCAAAAGTATCATTAATATAAATATTAACATTATAAAGGCCCTTGAAACATTAAATAACAAAGAATTTTCTTCTGTGCAAAACAAGGGTTGATGAGATTGGACAACGAAAAGTGAAGAACTTGGAGTCGAGTGAAGTTAATTAAAGTCTCGCCAAAGGGGGATATAAAACGGTTTAAGGAGTCGGGGAAATGTTTCTAGTTTTCTGTTTCACGAACTGGAAAATCATTTTAAATGGGGAAGTAAAAAACCCTTTACATTTAAGTTGCGTGAAAAAGCTACAATAGGGACCTCTGTAATTTCCAACTTAATAAAGTTTAATTTTTAAGAGGGGAAGTGTAAACCCTTTACATTTTAGAGAATGAAAAATATACTGCAGTTTATAGACGATATCTTTAGAAGTTTTTTCTATGAGCATCACCAAATTTTTTAGAAGTCTAAACGATGTTCATCAGAAGAAGAAGAAGTGCTTTAATATATTGACTTTTAAAAAACAATTGTTCCCCTTTATAAAGAAAATTCTTAGAAAGTGCAACTTGGGGGAGACCCCTTTTGCAAAAAAAAAAAACTTTGATGATTCAGTGGGCTTTATCAACAGAACTCTTTTACTTGCTTTTATGAGGGATGGAAAACTTTCCAGCTTACTAAAAAAAGTTAATAATTATAAATGAAGATTATATTTCAATCGTTAACCCCCGTTCTAGGTTTAGTTCTTGTAGAGCTTTTTAGGGTCCAAATCTCTTTTTTACCACGTTCTATGTTTAGTTCTTGTAGAGCTTTTCAGGGTCCAAATCCCTTTTTTTATCACACGAAGGTTTAGGTATTATTTATATATATTCAGCATACATAATAATTGGGTATTACCATTTTAAACTACTTTTCTTTCTAACAGTTGATAAAACAATTTTAGAGGAAAAGACTTTTGGTTTAAATAAATAAACAAATTTGTAAGCTTTATATCTTTTTTCTTTAAATAATCTATATTTAAGTACCAATCAATTGACTGTGGATAATCGAGTGATACTGAAAAAAGAGCTTTCAGAGCTTTTACCCTATAAAGAGTTGACCTTGGCCTGCTTTGGCAAACCATTAGGCTTTCCCTTGTCCCACATTCACTGTGACCCAACCTTCAACTTGACCTTCGATTGACCTAGTCCTCTGAAATCCTTGTCCTACATTACATTTTAATCCTTGTTCTATTTTAAAATACCTACATCATAAGAATTCATTTTTTTTATAAAGAGTACTTTTAAATAGTTAAAACTGACAATAATTTCTATCCTTTTCAGGTCTTTAAAGCAACTCGGAAAATAATTATACTATCGTTACCTGCCATTACGAATCAATACAAAAATCAATCCCACACATCACAACGAAACGTACAAAAAGTTAAATTAAAATATTCATAAAATGGATACCTTCAATGTACCTTTGCTGGCGGAAAGCAGCAACAACAACTATGCAACAGAAGCTACCAGCAACCATCACCATCTGCAGCATCAGCAGCAGCAGCAGCAACAGCAGCATCAGCAGCAGCAACTCTTAATGCCACACCATCACAAGGATCAAATGCTGGCCGCTGGCAGTTCTCCGATGCTGCCATTTTACTCGCACTTGCAATTGCAACAAAAGGATGCAACTGCCACAATAGGATCTGCAGCAGCAACAGTTGCAGCAGCAGCAGTAGCAACATCGGCCAACTCCGATAACTTTAGTTCGTTGCAAGCAATCGATGCCAGTCAACTAGATGGAGGGATTTCCTTAAGCGGTCTTTGCGATCGCTTCTTTGCGGCTAGTCCTAATCCTCATAGCAATAGCAATATGACCTTAATGGGCACTACGTCAGCAGCCACAACAACCACTACCAATAATAATAATAACAATAACAATAACAACACTAATAATAATAATAACAACAACAATGTGGAGGCTAAGGCAGTGAGGCCATCAAACGGCAGTTCAGTGATCATCGAATCTGTGACAATGCCATCGTTTGCCAATATCCTATTTCCCACCCACCGCTCTACCAATGAGTGCATTGATCCCGCCCTGTTGCAAAAGAATCCCCAAAACAACACCAATGGCACTGGGGGTGGTGGTGGCATTATTGTGCCGTCCGTGGAATATCATCAATTGAAGCCACTTGAAGTCAATTCCTCGACTTCCGTTTCCACCAGTAATTTCCTCTCCTCCACCACCGCTCAATTGTTGGATTTTGAGGTGCAGGTGGGTAAGGATGATAGTCACATTAGCACTACAACAACAGGGTCCGGATCGGGATCGGGTGCGGCAACCATTGCCACTGCAACGCCAACAACAGCAACAACATCCATTATTAACACTGCCAATCCAACGAGGAGCTCATTGCACAGTATTGAGGAGTTGGCCGCCAGTTCCTGTGTCCCAAAAACAACATCACCTAATAGTAGCAACCACAATAGCAGTGCCAGTACCACACCGCAACAGCAGCAACATCAGCACCAACATCACATGCAAAGTGGCAATCACAGCGGCTCTAATCTCAGCAGCGACGATGAATCCATGTCCGAGGATGAATTCGGTCTGGAAATTGATGATAATGGAGGTAAGTCTTTAAATTGTTTATAATTTATAAAATTTCTCTCTTAAATCTTTAATTTCAAAAGCAAAGTGATTGGCAATATTCTGTTGTTGCTGTAAAAAAGTGAAAACCAAACTGATTGAATAAAATATAAATCAAAGAGATGGTGTTAAATTAAAAACTAATCTCAAAACTAACTGAAAAACGCGATCAAGATCGAACAAAAATTAGCAAGAAATTGCGTATTATAAGTGTACGAGAATGTACTATGAAAATGGTATACAATTTTAACTATAAAATGGTCAAACATTAACCTAATACACGTGTTTAATAACAACTACAAACCACGTCGAATAATCATAATAAAATATTCAATGTAATGATAAAGAAAATGAAAACAAATCAAAATAACAATTCAAGGTGGCATAAGCACTAAAAGCGAATGCAATCTATAAAAAACAATGACAGACAGACTTTTTAACAATTTAGTGAGAGATATTAATGTGTTGCGTAATAGGTAATATCTTATAGTATCTACATTGCATTCTTTAGTACCAGCTACCCAAATAACCCAATTAAAATGCAATCATTTTATCACGCATTTCAACTGGCATTTATTGCTTTTGTAAATTTTCAATTTAAATTGAGTTCGACCTTGGAGTTTTCACTAACGTGTCATTACTGGCAAGCCCGCCCCTGCGGTCGGCCAGACGGTGGTCTTAAATCTTAGTGTGCCAAGTGCAATGCTAAGTTTAAATATGCACGGAGCACTCTCGATGCCACGGATACACCCCTCCGCCCCAAATCCCCAAAGGCCCCCCTTTTCCGCTCAGTTGGCCTCGCACTTAGCTCCATGTTGTTTCGGCCTGGCGTCGTCGGATGCAGCCATAAAAATCCATTTGAAATGTCTATAAAAATGCAACTAACCTACTTTCGGGGGTTTTTGTTTTTTGTCCAAACCGATATTTAAATGCTCTTTCGTGGGGAAGATTTAGTTTGGATGGGTTTACGGATCTGATCATTAAAAGCTACTAAGCTTACTACTCTTTTGAATGTTGCTACTTTTTTTGTATATCCTTCGGTAAACTTAGCCATATATTAAGCAATCTTTTCGGAAAGATGTATAATTTTTTTAAAAACCTTAGGTTTTCTTACTTCATAGAGCATATTCTTATGATTAATATTCTTTATTTATAAATACAAATCCATGTAAACTGATTTAGAAACTACTTAATGTTCCTGACAACAAAAATTCCCATTGATCTTCAAAGAGTATCTGAAAATGCAAATGAATAAAAATTCGCTCGAAACATTTGTCGATGCGTGAATAGCAATTAAATGAGCAAACTGCGACAGACCCCTGCCAAAAGTCGATGATGAATGATCAAACATTACAGACATATGTAAGGCTGTTTGTTTGGCCAGCCATTTGTTTGTTTGTTTGTTTGCTTTGCACAGCATTTGGTGGCATGATACTGGCTTTTACAAAAATTAACTTTATTGACATTCGACAATGTCAGAACCGCAAACTCATCTTCCACCCCCTGGTGGCATTTATATGCATTTTTGCCCACTTGATGACCTTCGTAGGGGAAACCCCTAAAGTGCAGCTTAAATTCGCCATCTGTTTTCATGTATCATCCTTAGAAAGAGAGGCAAAATGGAGCAAGGTCATTCGGCGGGTATTAGAATTTGGGTCAAGCGCAAACGAATCGTTGTTGCGCTCGCTTGCGTTTTCTAATATTGGAGATTGGGCCCAAGGATGCGAGACAAAAACAAAAAGCGAAATTGCATAGAAATTTGAAGGTCATTGTATGCATCAGCCGCAGCGCAGTTGGCGTCGCTGTCGGCGCGCCAAGTCGCGTGTTCTCGCCCCCTCTATTTCGCTCTCTATTGCACACTCTCTACAGTGGGAGAAAAAATGTTCAAATGCAATTTTCTGTCAACTTTGCATCTACATTTAAAAAGAGTTCTTTGATTTTATGTTTTCGTAAAATCTTTCTTTTTTAATAAATATTTTAATGTTAGAAATTTTGATTATTTCCCATAAATCAGTCAAAATACTTTGCGTTTAAAAATGGATTAATACAAATCTTAATGCATTTCTTAACTCAATAACTCAACTCAAGTTGCACTATTAATATATATATTTCAACTTTAGTAATGGGATTTCATTATCCTTTTTGAAACATATTTTTCACGTTTTTTAGCTGTAATTTTAATATAAAAATTCTGGGTCTCCCTTCTTGGTCGACTCCGACCAATATTTTCAATCAATAAATATGATTTTATACTGCTTTGAAAATAATATATAAATATTACTTTCTTCGCTTAGATGACTTTTTATTCGTTGTCTAACAGCACCTCTAGATTTTTTAAACTTTTCTTTAGACTGAAATTAGAGATCTATTCCTAACTAGAGTTCGATTTTTGGTCAACACACCCGATTAACCCCATTCTTAAATTTCTTACATGTTATATGTTTCTTTGTATGTTAAGTAAGTGAATAAAAATATTTGAAACTAAGTTGAATTTTTTATCTCATTAGAAATCAAAAATAAATCTTACCAAGACATTTCTCTGTGTGCATCTGTTGTTGTTGTTGCGCCTGCTTTTGTTGCTGGCGCGGTTCTGCCTCAGTTGGTTTTATTTGCCGACTGCGACGACTACGACGACGATGGCGATGCCGCCGCCCGCAACGCCGGCTGACATTGACACAGATTGCACCGTGCCGCACCGCACCGGCGTCGGTGCTTGTGCTTCTGCCGGCGTCGTTGTCGTGCGTCTATGCTCACCTCAAAGGATTTAAATGGGTCAAAGTCAGCTAGCAGCTTGTTGCATTTTGAAAAGTGCGCAAAAAGACAACGAAATAGCAGCCTCAAATTGGGGCACGACATTGACTGCATATACCATGTAGTATGCAGTATATAGCATATACGAGGTGTGTTCAAAAAGTAAGGTGACTCTTCAAATTTCGCGAATTTCAAATTTTTCGATTATCGATTTTTTTGTTTTGTTATATTGGTACACTCTTCCCTAACATCTGTACCAAGTTTCAATGGAACATCCTCTTTTGTTTGGTTGTGAGAGGCGTAAAGTTACAAGTTGTTTTGCGAGCTCGGCGATTTTTTGCTATCGAAAAATATGGATCAAAGAATTTGGATTTTTTGGCCAAAAACAACACCACAATAATGCCTCAGCCACCATATTCACCGGATTTGGCCCCATGTGACTTTTTCTTGTTCCCAAAACTGAAGATAATCGAAAAATTTGAAAAATTTGAAATTTGAAAAGTCACCTTACTTTTTGAACACACCTCGTATAACTTCTAAAAGGTTTCGATAATCGAAAAATTTGAAATTCGCGAAATTTGAAGAGTCACCTTACTTTTTGAACACACCTCGTATGTAGATTATATACTTGTACATATGTTCTAGCGTCGAATGCATTTCAAGGTCCTTGTATTGAAGAGAAGGCTGTCGCCGTTCTAGCGGGCTGTGTCCCAAGGACGATGCCACCACCACCCCCGGAGAATCCTTGGCTGTTCAAGGTTGTTCTATATGCAAATTATGTCTGCCACGTCTGATTTAAGCTTCGACCTTCGGGTCGTTTGGTGGCTTGACTTTGAAAAAGGATTTGTGGAAAAATGCTTTACTCAATGTTTGGCATTGGAAAGAGTTTAAAGATTTAAAAGGTGGAATGTGGAAATATAGATTGACCTGGATTCTTCTACGATGTCTTAAGAGGCATTTAAGGTAGGGGAAATCGGTTTAAATTAAATTAAATAGGTTTAGAGAGACATAAACTAGAAAGATTCTAATTTTTTAATGATTTTAAAAATTAAATTTATATTCCTCATGAACATTAGTAACTCTCTAAAGAAGGCCGTTCATTTAAGCCAATCTATTTTTATTTTAGTACAAATTTAATGACTAATTCGAATACAAATTAACTATCCAATTTTAAACTTCACTGGTTAATTCCCTTAATTTGTACATGGGCTTAATGGACATTTGTCTGGTCTTTGAAATAATATTAAGTGCAATTAGCGAGCAATTATATGTAAAGCAAGCTTAGAAATCCCTCGCATTCTATCCTCCACATTGGTCATTCACACTTGCGTTGAATTCTAATTCTTTCTCACGACTCACGCCATTGGCAAGCCAAACCGCAAATCGGTAATTGGAACTAACTAACTAAACTAAACCCACCCAAACAATAGGACTTAGTCAAGCGATCAGAAAACAGAAATCTTGTAAATGCAATCAAGGATGGAACATTGAAAAATATCAAGTTTAGTTTGAGCTCAAGCTTAGTTTGCCCTTAAGAACAGAAATAAACTAAAACACCAACTAAGTCATTCAATTGTAACAATAATTGTGAACAATAATAATAATGATAATGCAAGCAATTAGAACTGGTAATCGAGAGGGGACGTTGCAACGGGGTGGGGCACTTAGTTTTGTTTGCAAATTGTTTAACTAAGTGCATAGTAATTGGGTTATTAGTTGGAGTTCCAAGGAATGTTTTTCTTTGAATGAAACCTCTGTGCTTATTGGTTTGTGTGAAATTGTTTAGCTAGTAATTAAGGTTTTGTTTATATGTTCAATGGGATCATTGAACTTGCGAGGGATTGCATTGGAAAATGGGAATTGTATTGTTAGAGGCAATCTAATGAAATTTTTCAAGACAAATAACTAGAATCATTAAACTACGATAAATTGTAATATATATTGGATTTACTTATGATTTTTAATGATTTTTTAAATAGTCTTATGTTAAAGATAATGCCAAATATTTATTTTACTGTCTTTTAAAATCGTTAAAAATGCAATGATTTATGATATTTATCGTTAAGGTTATGATTTTTATTAAATCCAATTATGAGCAACATAAACCATTTCATCTTTGGTTTTTTTTATTTTTTTTATAAATATTCAATATATTTAGTTTCATAAATATGTTTAATTATTTTCTTAATTTCTATCCTATATCTTGACATCAGGAATGTAACAGAATAGATC